TATAATGAACTATTAAATACAAATCGTTTTTTTTTTCAAGGGATTTTGCTGGTAGAAATGAGCAAGGAATGTGCCACTCCAGAAAGTACGTGTTTTTAAAATACTTATAAAATTATATGAACTCGTCTGTCGCCGTTTTAAAAATAAGTACGCAGTTTTCTCAAGAGCGCTAATTACTAAAAATTAAAAATAACTAAGTAGTTTATGATAAAATACAATGAATGCCAATAATTATGCTACTAAAAATAAAAAAAATTGGTTAATTATTAAATATCATTATAATAAATACATAATTCAAACAATGTTATAAACTTTAATCGTTTGAACTGAAATCTTCTTCAGACCTCGTATTATTTGTGAAAGTTAATGTCATATTTTCTATGATTTAATCCAAACCATACAATTCCTTTTCTTCTTTTATAACGTATTCAGCACAAGCTGCCCGCTATCAGCAGTTACTTCGACTGCTGACAATATTTCGCTTCTAGAAGAAGAAATAGTACCGATGTTACACCCGATCAGTTGACCATAGACTACAGAGAGCCGGCTCTAGTATTAACTGTTCTTACGTTTTGACCAATGGGAAGCTGGGAAATAGCTACCCATTTAAAATCAACACGAATAGACTATAGACCCTTGAGAAGTCAATGGTGATTCGATAAATTAGGTTCATCTAAAGACGGCCCATGCAAATGCACGAAAGGATATAAAGCCCACTTTCAACCATATAGATCGACTGGACTAAAGTACTTAAATCTCGGCAATAGTCGCGGTACAAATAACTGCTTTAATATTGAGGAATGTATCGAAGACAAGTTGCCAGAAGCTAATAAAACTATTGATATCGATGTGACTAATTTTGCTAACATCGAAATTGCTTAGGCAAAAGCTGAAAGTCAACGAAATGACAAGGATGGTTCATTGAGGAGAAGAAGGTTGAAGTAAATATATAAATAGTAGAATCAATATATTTTTTATTTCATAAGTAAAAAATAAAACATTGAATGGGGGATAGCTTAGGATATGTTGATCACATTGAATTTACAGAAAAAACTTTATAAGACTCAAAACTGATAATAATATTATTGCAAAGAATTGATAGGAAGTGATAAGCTGATTCTTACACCTCGTCTCCCACCAACTATAGGGATTTTTTTATGTAGCAACTTATAGAGTCCAGTTAACTATATGACAGATGTTCCAGAAAAACTAGCCATGCTGGGAAAAAAGTATTATTTACTATTTGTGAAATAACTCAAAAAATTTTTTTGGTAAAAATGATCTCCATAAAATGTTCTTCATGTTTGCTTTATATATTATTTCGCCACAATACAACGTGATGATGTGGGAAGTATTTGTATGGTTGTAGCTAATTTGCTAGTGCAAGTCCCGTGACGTTCAAAGCATACGGAAGGACTATCCAGCCTCGAGTCAAACCCCCAAAAAATATATTATTATTCCATAATAATACATAGCATACAAGAATATAGAGAAAAAACAAAAAAAAGTAATTGTGGAACTTGTATGCGAAGATCAACCATTAAGACCATGATTTCATCTCTAGAATACTTGCTTTTCTACTCAACCTGTGAGCTTTCATTCAACCTTTCAGATTTTAAAAATTGTAGCAGGATGTCGTAGAGATGAATTAAATAACATAACTGTGGATGATATTGAAAATATAGTCTATTTTAATTATAATAATACCTGAATCAAAAACTAAAATTAAGAGAAAATTCACAGTTACAACTAGATGAAGATGAGACTTGCTTCAATCCCATAGAAAATAGGTGAACTTAGTTGGATACGGTGGTCACAAAGTCCTGAGTGACAGTGGTAAATCTGGAGCCCATGATATCCAAGTTACTGACTAACACAACTTTGAAGTAAAGATTATACCATCTTTGTCAAATGCGAATGCTGTATATACACAATATAATATACCTACCATCTGCTATGGAAATCAATAATTTTAATAATTGCAACATTAATATCTATTTTCCTTAGTTTCTGACAATTAATTAAAGGGCTGTTTAGAAATGATTCTTGTCTTGTAGTAACTCTAGATTACTTTCTTCACACTCTTATGAAAAAATGTGTTGAAAGTAATCTATTTCACATTTGTTATGGTAACGAGAATCAAAACATAAACTGTTCAGAAAAGGCATACTTTCTGCATCGAAAAATTTAAAGAATACAGGAATAGAAATAAGTTTTTAGCATCGTTTTAACCATAATCGACCAAAAAATCTAATTCTTTTGGTGACAGTCCATTAATGTGGGTTTTCTTTGTCCCGTAATGATGAATTTTCGGTCAGAGTTGGAAGTAGAAACTAGCTGTGATTACGTAATGACATCAAAGTTCTAAATATTTTTATACTGTATCATAAACGCAAAAAATCGTTACATATGTTATGCTAATAAAATGCTTACTTTGTCGTTTAATCATTTTTTTATTTGTATTTAAAAACCATGAGGTTTCACTGGGAAACCCTGTGTAAACAAAAATGTTGATTTGAGAGGAAAATGTTTAGTTTATTTTAAATTAGTTGGTAGTTTTTCCTTAACTTCATGAAAGTTTGTTAAACATATTTTAATTATTTTGATTAATGACAGAAATCCATAAAATCGCATCAGTATTTCCCACACTTTTTTTATTTATTTATTTTTTTTATTAATTATGATTAATTTCAATGGTAATTAAGATTTTTTTTTATATTTCTTATTAACCATTTTTTTTCATAGAGCATAACTAAAGTTTAAAGATTTATCTAGTTAAAACTATTTAGTTAACGTACTAGTTAATCTAATAAAAGAATATTTAGTAATTTAATAGTTAATTATTGTTTCTTAGAAATCCATTGTGTTAGCGGTATTATTGATACTATTAATGTTGGTTTTACTGTCCTGATTTTGTCAATCCAGTGCATAAAATAATATCGTAGATGAAATTAAAATACATGGGACTTTTCATATAATTCGTGATGATTTTGGGGAAAGTCAGGCAGGGATTTTAGTGATTGACCTTTTTTCTACAGTTTCTGAAATTAAATATAACAAAAAAAGTAGCAAGCGGACAATTTAGTTTGGTTTATTTGTAACAATTGCAATTTGCATTAATGGAGAAGAGTGAGAAAGAAAATGTTGCGTGGATGTCGGAATTTTCCGCGCACACATCATATGTGCAAAGCCATATTCCCAGCTATTTCAAATTATAGTCATTATATCATCACCATTGCAATTTTGTAACTGAATTTGTTATTTTATGTTCTGGATTCTGGTTGTCAATATGAAAAAATAGGTTAACAAATAAAAAGCATATTATACAGGGTGGGACAATAATGAGTCCGACTTCGTTATGTCGAGTTTTATGAAAGCTAGAAACTTAATTTAAAAACATAAATAGACTAGACAAAAAAATCTATAACCGGAAATTATTTTCTAATATACAGGGTGACCCAAGACGATTCTACAGGGTCAACTAACATTTTTTTAAATGGAATGCCATGTATGTCAGAACATTTTTTTAAACCTCTATGTAGTCTCCTTCCACTCCTTTATTATTATTGACTCTCTCCCAACTACTTGGATGTAATGATTTTTTTTGTTAAAATTATGCCATTTACACGTGTATATTAAAAAAATCACTAGTCACAATTATCGATTTTAAGAAAAAACATGTTAGTACCAATTATGAAACATCTGTGTGATGACACTCAGCCATTTTCACTTCCTAAAAGTATACAGGATGGCCAAAAATAATTTTTAAATTTACAACTATTTGAACTGAATTTTCTCAATTTCTTCAAATGGAACACCCTGTATATTTTTGGACAATGTGATACAGAATTGAAAATTTTTTGTATGTACATTTGTATGGCTATTTGTAACCATTTTCGATTTATTGAACAATAACTGCAAAATTCAGCAATAAAAATTAAAAATATATTTTTCTGTAATTCGAGAGAAGATATTATAAAAAGTGCTCTCTTCATGTTGCCCATTTTGATTGACACACATTTCTATGCGTCTTTGGAATGAGGTTTCTACTGTTCATAAAATTGCCGGAGTGATACTTCTAAAAGCATTTATTATCCTTCCTTCAAATTTTGGATTGTTGTTGGTGTGTTGTTTTTATGATCATCATGTAACACCTTCTCTTGAATTATTTGAAAAATAAACCTCATTTTTAATTTTTATTGCTGAATTTTGTAGTTATTGTTTAATAAATTGAAATTGGTCACAAATAGCCATAGGAATGCACGCACAGAAAATGTTCGTTTTTCAGTCCTACATCACATCATCCAAGAATCTACAATGAGAAAATTCAGTTCAAAAAGTTGTAAATTTAAAAATCCTTTTTGGCCACCCTGTATACATTTAGGAAGTGAAAATGGCTGAGTGTCATCACACAGATGTCTCGTAACTGGTACTAACATATATATTTTTTTAAATCGATAGTTGTGACTCTAATAATATTTTTAATATACACGTGTAAATGGTATAATTTCAACAAAAGAACATCATTACATCCAAGTGATTGGAAGAAAGTTAATAATAATACAGGAGTGAAAGGACGCCACAAAGATGTTTCAAAAAATGTTCTGATATACGTCGCATTTTATTTAAAAAAATGTTACTGGACCCTGTAGAATCGCCTTGGCTGACCCTGTATATTCGAAAACAATTTCCAGTTATAAACTTTTCGGTCTAGTTTACCTAAGTTTTGAAATCAAGTTTCTAGCTATCATAGAACTCGAGATATCGAAGTCGGACGCACTATTGCCCCACCCTGTATAAAGAATTTTCGGAACTAGTTTCGATGCCATAAAAAATCCTTTTTTTTAATCAAATTAATTAAACACCACAAGTAATACAACCCCCTATATTCCTGAATATATTTCACGGTACCTTATGTAGGAGAGAGCTACACATTTAGAGATAATGGACAGCCAACGTCCAAGTATGCTAAGAATAATTTCTAGTTTAGAAAAAAATCCTAGCCCGTCGGCCGGGGATCGGACCCGGGACTCCAGGGTAACAGGCAAGTGTCTTTACCACTCGATCACGAAGCCACACAATTGACGCAATAATTTGATGGTAGAAACATTTTAATTAAAATATATTACACATCATTTAAAAAAATTAATGCCAACTTATTTCCTGTTTGACATGCAGGTGGGAACACATTTTACGTTATTACCTTTTTTTATCAGGCACATAATAGTTTTCAGGAGCTTTGTATATGGCTATGCAATACGGGAACACTAATTAAAAAGCCGGAAGAGCAACAGGATTAATTCAGTCTTTTGATGATATTACATTGCGTGTTTATGTCGCTATAAATTAGATTTACCTAAACTGATGTGGACAGAATGGTGTTTTCTTGCTACGTTTGTTCAATTTAAACCATATTTTTTCTGGAAAATGGACAGTTAGTGACAGCTTGTTAAGCGTATTGTTAATTTTACCAGTAAATAATTTAATTGTTGATTTGCATTGTAAAGTATATTACATGAGATTTTTTTAACCCATCTGCATGTTTCCAAAAAGTAGATATTCCTGAACATTTTGATCATTACACAGCCAGTTAATACTCGAAAAATTATGAATACAACTTAAATCAAAAAATGAATTGTTTGAAATTTATGTTTTGAATTAATGCTATGTATGCTTCTAGTGAATTACTGACACGGTGCTTGATATCCTAAAATAATTTATTTACTCTCAGCCAGGTCAAAATAGAATTTGATTGCAACAAGGGTAATACCAATTGCATCTGACTCAGAATATCGTTTTTTATAATATAAGATATCCAAAATCCAACAAATTCTGTCCTTAGGAACGCTAACTTTGTCTGTTGACTTAAAATGGTCGCCTGCCTCCAAAGGGCAAACTTACAATATTTTTATTGTAAATTTGATTTTTGATACAGGAGCAACTGTGCAAAATGGGATAAATCCATTATTTTCTGTTTCCAGATAAACATGAAAAGTTACTGTTGTTGGCCTAATCTATAATTTAAAATACCCTGTTCCATGAAAGTCTGAAAGCCAACAATAAAAGCATGTAGCTTACTAATTAAAATACTTTTTGATTTAAAGCTGTAATACTTTTTGATTCCTTTCAACTCCTGTAAGTAATAGAGAATTAACTGTTATGAGTCAAACGCAATAAACAAAATGAAATAATTCCACACTCTGGTCTAGCAAAAAGGCATAAATCTAGTCGAAAAATCAATATTAAAATAAATATAATTTATTTAAACTACATAAATAGTGTATACATTATTTGAAGAGAAACGTTACTTTTAATTATTCTGTGAAAAGAAATGGAGCTTTTTTTCACAGTGTCTCTTACTGGTTTTTCCTCTACAGAAAATACTATGGTCCAGATTTATCCCCTTTTGCACAATTGCTCCTCATGTGTTTATATTATTTTTTAAAGCTAGATCGATACCAGTTTTTTAAAAAAATACGGTAGATCTCATTTATACTTTCTCATCAAAAAGTCTTATGAAGACTTTACAACGAAAAAGAGCCACAGTTATAGTTTTCGATGGACACAGTGTAAGTACCCGGAGATGAAACGTGACCTTGAAACACTCACCGACAGGAAACTTCTCACCAGGACAATTTATTTAAAAAGTAATCATCACATGTGGCATGACTAAAAGATTATGCATGCTAAAGATGATGCTGATTTTGACGTAGTGCAGGAAGGTGTCTGCAAAAGATTAATACAATAATTTTAGAAAAAAAAACACAGTCTTGCTCGTCTTTCTGTTAAATTACGCTTCCTACGGTGACTTCTCATTACATTTCCAAGGCAACTTTATACGCCCAAAGTCACCCTTTGTAGTCCGTATCATTTTTTTTTATTTAAACTATTTTGACTACAGCAATGTGGAAGTATTTGATTTTCTTTCATGATTTCATAGAGTGTGATGAAACTTCATATCACATGGAACTGGCAAGAGTACTGAAACTCCTGTAATTTTATAACATTTTGCATGGTTCAGAAAATTCAAGCCGAAGTTTGACATTTTGAAAAAACCAATATTTCTGCACTATGGATGTAAGAAAGATGAAATATTTGAAATGCTGCGTCTTCAAGAAGAAAATTGCCTCTTCCAATTACATTGTAAAACCAATGCAAATATATGTCAATGATTACGCAAGCACCATGCATTTTGTTGCTATTACCAAATATTCTAGCGGTAAAGTAATCATGAAATAGACGATGCTTGCTGTTGAGGATGGTTGATAAAAAATAGTTGAATGATCTGCCTCCAGCTTCATGATCTATGTCCTTGGTGATCGCTATACAGATACTTGCTGACAGTGCTATGAATCTGGCTGTGAAAACATTTTGAATAAAAAAGACAGAAGTGGGTCCAAACAATTAGATTATTCATTATTTTCTGTTTTTTTTCCACCACTTCCTTTAATTTTTATTCATTTATCTATAGTTCTAGATTTTTTTCTCTCAATAAAATCAACAAATGTTCTTCTACTTTCTATTCTTGTTGTCCTCGTTATTTATAACAGTGAATACTTTTGAAAATTGGAAAAGTCACATGTAATGAAATGAACATCAAAAAAAAATTCTAGAAACATGTGCAGAAGCAAAGAATTTTAGGTCGTTTTTTTTTCTTTGAGAAAAGTTCTTCTAATAAAAATTGGAAAAGAAATCAGTTTGTTTGTTGTAGTTTAAAATTTGGTATCCAGAGTTTGTTAGTATTAGTTTGTCAGTGTTAAGGAAAAACAGTTTGTTAAAAACTATTTATACTTTGATTACTTTGGTAGAGAAAGCAAAAACTATCTTTATTTACTGAAGTGAAAATCGTTGCGCTCGTAGAATGACTCGAGCTTTTAACGAAAGACACTACGGTAAGGATGTAGGCCACTAGTAATCAATTTAGTTCGAAAACGTCAAGAAACTTGTTCAGTGTGTGTAATAAAAAAATCCTCAACCAAGAGTTCTGGACAAAGCAGCATAGGTCAAAGTTCTTGACCATTTCGATATAGATCCAAACATTTCTATTCTGAAAGTATCTAAGTTAACCCACATTTCTGTTGTAGTTCGGCACATAAAATGCTCGAGGTAAATAATTTCTTTGCTTATAAACTGCAAATTCATCAACAGCTGGGTGAAGATAATTATAATAAAATGATTAAATTTTGTAAAGAAATGGATAAAACAATCACATATTCAAATTAGTTAATATTTATTTTAGCAGTGATCCGATTTTTTTCTTAAATGGGTTTGTCGTAGGTATTGTGAAATTTATTATGGAACTCGGAAGGATTATACACACTACATTGTTTGCCGGGAAGATTAATGTGTGAGCCAGAATTCTAAAGGACGAAATAATAGGTTCTATTTTTATTGAAGAAAACCTAACTGGGTTTTATTTTATAATACTTCATATATTTAGAACTATTAAAGAATGAGGTAAACCCATTCATCATCCAGTCGCTAAAATACCAGATCGATAATGAGGAAAACATGATGTTTTTCTTTAATCATTTATTTAACGTGGACCTATATCCGCAACCAGGGCCAATCATCGACGCCAGGAGGCTAGCTATCCTCAACCTGGACATTTTGCTTAACCTAATCTTTATCAAATAGTAGAGATTCTTTACTTGCCTAACATTTAATAGACAAGGAACCAACTGCTTTACATCCCTTCCGAAAGATGGTATATGACCTACACAACCCGTGCCGAAGATTGCATCTGCGTATACACCGCTAGAAGACAGGACGAAGTCGCCGAGCTTCACTTGACTTACCATCAAATTACTGACTGCGACTACCAATATTTCCAAAGTTTGCATAATCTGGAGGTGATTAAAACTATTTCTCCATCTCCAGATGATGCCAAATTGGTTGGTGAAACGCGCGTCGAGTTCAGTATATGGTGTTTTGTTGTTTCGTGGAAATCTACGTCTGTGTTATCTTCACATCAAAGGTTCCAACCCACTTCACGAAAATAATACATGACATGGGTATAGATCATACAAAGGAAATAAAAATATTACACATTGCTATGTTTTCCACTAATGCGACAAATTCTGCCTGAATGCGGATAGGCCGTTCTGGTGACCACTGTTGTGGCCCTCTGCCATGAGTTTTCGTTCTTTGAGGTTGTGGTAAGGTAGCATTTTCCTGCTAAGAAAATACAGTGCGTTTTATTATATATTTTTACAAATTTATAAGAATTAGGACTGCGACTACCGTTGGTTAACTTTTCGTATCGAATACGAATACAATTTGCATTTCCAACAAGACGAATTTCGATTTGCTGATACTGTTCCCGTGAGAAAATGATTGGAGAGGTGTTCAAGAATGTCCTACAAGATCTCCAGATTTAACGCCTCTTACTTTTCATCTCTGGCGTTATTTAAAAACTTAAGTTTACACAATCTCGCTAGAAGATATTCCTGATCTCAGAAGCAGACAGATTTCTCACGAAACATTTAGAAAAGCCCGGCGAGAATTTTAAAACAAGCTTCATTATTTATTAATTAATTTAGTAGCAAACAATGCAGGACATTTTGAATACTATAAAATAATTTTCTTCATACATAACTAAGTGTAATATTATTGTTAATTTTTCGTAGAAGGATGTGACTTTATATTATTATGTCCTTTAAAATGATGTGTCATAGTCATAAGACAGGAAATGCCCTTGAAATTCTAAACTTGGAGTGTTTGGGAGTGAAGCGGTGGAATATAAAATTTAATCAACAGTGGTTTCTAAGTGCCCTTCGATGTTTTTTTTTTTTCAAAATCGTGTCTACTTTAGATCCAGAGGTATTCTAGGTGGCTAATTTTGAAATTAAAGCACTGTACGAGTATGTTTACCAATCAAAGTTGAAATAAAATAAACATGAAAATGAACCGTTATAGAAACTTTGCACTTGTTCACATCTGCCTGCCGTCTGCACCAAGTATCAACGCGCATATTGTTCTCTATCCTGGCTCGGTGCAAAGTTTGAGTGAGAAGAGTTATATCATAATGTTAACCAGGTTTAATTGCTCGAATCGGCTTAATAAAATTATTATT